TAACAAGACCTGACACTTAGTAGACTTGCCTCCTGGTTGCAAACCAATCGGTTGTAAATGGGTTTTGAAAAAGAAACTAAAACCTGATGGAACTATTGATAAATACAAGGTTTGCCTTGTTGCCAAGGGTTTTAGACAAAGAGAAAATATAGATTTCTTCGACACCTTTTCTCCTGTCACTAGAATTACATCCATTAGGGTACTTATTTCAATAACTGCTATTTATAACTTAATAGTACACCAAATGGATGTTAAAACAAATTTTTTAAACGGTGACGTAGAAGAAGAAATCTATATGAAACAACCGGAAGGGTTTGTGATCTATGGATAAGAAAACAAGGTTTGTAAGTTAGATAAGTCTTTGTGTGGGCTAAAACAAGCTCCAAAGTAATGACATGTAAAGTTTGATAACTTAATGATATCGAATGTGTACAAAGTGAATGAAAGTGACAAATACGTTTATTACAAATTTGAGAATTGTATTTTCACTATCATATGTCTATATGTAGACGATCTACTCATATTTAGATCAAACATTCAGACCATTAATGATATGACATCGTTGTTGTGCAACAACTTTGATATGAAAGACCTCGGAGAAGTGAGTGTGATTCTTGGTATCAAGATCACAAAATCCAAGTAAGGAATTTATTTGGATCAATCACAATATGTGAAAAAGATCTTAAAGAAATATAATTACTTTGACAGTAAACTTGTGAGCACACTAAATGATCCAATTGTGAAGCTATTTAAGAACACTGGTGAAAGTGTTAGATAAACAGAATATGCGAGCATCATTGGAAGTCTTATGTATTCCATTGATTGTACTAAACCTGACATTGCATATGTCGTGGGATTGTTGTGCGGGTTTACTAGTAGACCGAGCAATGAATATTTACAAGCTAGTGAGCGAGTCATACGGTACCTTAAAAGGACCATGAATCTCGGTTTATATTATCATAGATTTCCTATTGTACCTGGAGGATATAATGGTGCAGATTGGAATACCTTATCAGATGATTCCAAAGAAACTAATGGCTATGTATTTAACATAGCTAGATGAGTTGTATCTTGGAAATCAAAGAAACATACTATCCTGAGAATATAGCATTAGCGACTGCTAGTGAAGAAGTAAGTTGGTTAAGATTCTTGCTAACTGAGATTCCCTTATGGGAAAAACATATGTCAGTTGTGTTGATCCATTGCGATAGTACCACGGCTATTGCAAAAATTGAGAACCGTTATTATAATGGTAAAAGATGTCAAATAAGAAGAAAGCACAGAACTGTTAGAGATTGTATCTCTAAAGGAGCTGTAAGAGTGGATCATGTACGCACTGATGAAAATTTAGCAGATCCTTTGACGAAAGGATTAGCTAGATAGAAAGTCTATAATACATCATATCAGATGGGACTAATTCCTATAGGAAAATGAGTTGCTCATGATGGTAACCCGACCTAAATGACTGGAGATCCCAAGAAATATGTTCAATGGGTAATAACAAGTTATGAGTAATATGAGATGATCATGCAAGTAAAGCATGAATCCAGAAGTAATAAGAGGATGAGATAATAGAAACTCTTAATGAGATCTATACTCTGTATGAGGGAGTACCTAGGCTACAGGAGTACTCTTGATAGACTCACCTATGTGATTGTGGAACTTAGGCCGGTTCCTATGGAATTTCGAGGCAGAATTCCTAGAGCCTTCATTAAACTGGGATACATGTGCAGGGCCATTAAAGCACGGGCTATTAGAATACACCTTAAGAAAAGATTGTGTGCGGGTTTGATGTCTGAGATATAGTTCAAGACATTTTTGTCACTCTTGTTGAATTGGAATCCTACTTGCTATGCAAAGGTTCAAGTCGTAGACACCTTTGTTTATGCACAATCTTAGAAACGTTTGACGTTACTTCTAAAATCAATTTTTTAAATTCAAGTGGGGGATTGTTGGAACATGTCCAGGTTTCAATATGTTGAATTTAAAAATTTCTCAAGTCCCACATTGTTAGAATATTTTTTTGGTTGAAAAAACCATTTAGTCCCACATTGCTCATGTGAGAAATATTAACTATATTACTTCATTATATAAGGAGTGTACATTTTTCATTTCAAATCACACCAAAAACTATTTTATTAGTTTTTCCTTCCTCATTCTCATAACTCTGCGTCTCTCGAATTGTCGAAGCGCCATCTTCTTCCCCTTTCTTTCTACTCGTTGAATTTTCCGAGTATTTTCTTGAATTCTCTTTAGAGAATTATGTTAATTTCTCCTCATTTGAGTTGAGAAATTTTCAAGTTTAATCTTTTAGATTATCTTTGGAGAATAATTTGAATTTCTCTTTGTTGGAGAAATTATTATGAGTGGTCAAATGACCATTATTAATTTCTCTTTGGAGAATTATTTGAGTTTCTTTTTGTTTAAGAAATTATTATGACTGGTCTTTGTACCAGATACTACGAGTGGTGTTGATACCATATTTGAATGGTCTTGTACCATCAGAGGGTGTATTTCTAGACCGATTATCTATCATGCAAGTAGTAATCGTACAGTATAGAACTGAGTTGTTTTATCCTGGAGACGGCGCGGTAGTTTGACTGCTTTGCATAATTTTGAGCAGTGCCGTGAAACGTCTTAAAGAGAGCGACCTAATCCGCGACTCAACCTGGTAATTTCTTCGGTGGCAAATATTTCAAAATCCAAAATCCAACAGTGATGGTCATTGAAACGTTATTACATATGAAAAAGATCAATACTATGTTAATTATCCCAAATATAGACGTATGGACGTCTCTTCTACCTTGACTTGTTTCATTTTGTCATGGAGTGCATAGTCTCTTTTTAAATAAATGAATTATTAGTCTTATTTTATTGTGTTCAATGAGAGATTTTAAAATATTTAAAGTATTGATCTGGTTAAATCAAAATGTCAATGTTTCAAGTCTCGTTATAATTATTAGGTTGGAGTGGAAGGTACATGTCCATGCTCTATGTTTTTTCATTTCTCTATTAGACTAGGAACGAGACCTGTTCAAGTGGATAAAAATTTAGGGGTATGTAGGGTGGCCAAATTCTCTAATGTTGTTTTATGCATATGGCCATGTTTATCTCCCTCCATCTCACTCTTTTTGGAAGTCTGATGTTCTACATGATAGATCAAGTTGATGGTCTAATTGGCTTGGTTTTGTTCTCTTTATGTTGTTTTAAAATATCAAGAAATAAAGTTTGGTGGCGACTCTATTGCATTTTGAACGGCCAGTGCTCTCAGGTATTTTTCACACCGCGACATTTCATTCATATGCCTTTCTACGGGACATAGCATTGCATTTTCATAGGAAAATTCTGCTTATTAAAAACAAACAAAATTTTTCACGCATTCACATTTATCCTCATGAATACCCAGTTTCCAAAAAAAACACATTTCATTCTTTCTCATCCTCAGAAAAAACAAGCAATTAATAAGGCAAGCTGATTCCATGGAATCCTTACGAGACGTGTAGTGTTTCTCGAAGAAAGATGGAAAACCTTAAGAAAATATAAAAGGGGATATAGACGATCTCAAAGGATCCGTGACCACACTATGCCAGAAATAACCTACGAAAGCGCTTTTTTTGGGCTTTAAAAGCGCTTAAAAGTGCTCTCGTAGGTGGCGCTGCTAAAGGTTTTAGCAGCGCTTTTTGTTCAGAAAAAAGCGCTCTCGTAGGCCTACCTATGAAAGCGCTTTTTGGTAAAAAGCGCTTTCATAGGTAGGCCTATGAGAGCGCTTTTTTCTGAAAAAGCGCTTTCATAGGTGTATTCAGAATGCGTGTCAGGCAATCTAAAGTAGGCCTATAAGAGCGCTTTTTGTTCAGAAAAAAGCGCTCTCGTAGGCCTACCTATGAAAGCGCTTTTAATCAAAAAGCGCTTTCATAGGTAGGCCTACGAGAGCGCTTTTTTCTTAAAAGCGCTTTCATAGGTTTTCTACTGAAAAATATAAAATTTAAAAAATTTCTAAACCGTCATTTTTTTGCAGCAAACCTGTAATTCTTAAACCGGTATTTTACAATCTAATCTAGAAATACCAATATATATTAGTTTTAATCCAAATACCAAATGTAATTCAAATACCAAATATTATATATATATATATACAAATACCATTATAATCAATTCATATCCAAAATATATACACACCATGGTAATTCAATATTAACATGTTTTTAAACGTAACAAAATACACCCTAAGAAATCAGCTATATAACACTAAGTAAATCAATCATAATCTACATATATATCCAAGGTCATGATCTTGCAATATGAACATAATAACACGGTCAGTGTTGTATACACAAAACAATATATTCATAATTAACCAATTTTCACACAACAATGTATTCGTACCTTATTATAAGATTCTTAGCTCAATAAAATATTGGCACAACTCCTCTTTGAGTTCTTCCAATTGACGTGGCGAGTAATATGGACAATTGTATTGATCAAAATACTACATTACAAAACAAAATATATGCATGATTTAGTTTAATGTAATAAATTATATGCAAAATCCGATAAGTAATAAAACAAAGTATAAATCTATACCGTGATTGGAATCTCGATTTCATTTATTTGAATGATTTCTTTGATAAACTTCAAAACGAAGTATCCGCAATCTATTCCGTTTTGTTGTTGAGGGCACTACATAGAAAAACAAATAAGATTATACACATCTATTGATTTATCAAGTAGCATAAATATTATAAGCAAAATTGTTGAAATTTATATACCTGTACTTTGATCCAATTAATGTTGTTTGATTTAGACCGTGGTACTCGTTCTTCCCTTTGAGAAACATGTTTACTGTATGGGCAGACACAATCACTAATGCCACAAAAATTAGAAAAACCTAAAAATTAAAAAATGCTAAACCATACCTAACTGGCAAGAAATAAAATAGTAAATTAATCTAACTGTAAACACAAAAACTAACTAGATTACACCTTAACAATATGAACTAATCTTCATAATCTCTTCTTCACACTCAAAAAATCAAGTAATGGTTTATCTGAAACTGGTATCAACTTCACAACAAAACCAATTGGCCAAGAAGCAGAAGCAAGACCAATACAAATAATCCATTCTCTCCAATTCAATCTCTCTGTATCAGCAAATTTCTTCAAAAACTCAACCATCACTACTTGAAGCACCAATGTCACACCAACTATTCCCACAAACAATTTGCTTCTAAATATCCCTTCAAAAACATTCTTCTTCTCCAACTTCCTTGCATTGAACTCATTAAACACTTGACAAAGAACAAATGTATTAAAAATCAATGTGTCATTTACCTTTGATGTCACACCAAAAATATTTTCCCCTTTAAATTGTAGAGTCAACAAAATTACTATTTGGTAGATAGCTTGTGACAGAAGATTCCTCCACATAATGTTAGTGATAAGAGGTTTTGTTCTACCCACAGGTTTTTGATCCATCAATTCCTTAGTAGGTTTTTCAGTTGCAAGAGCCAAAGCACCTAATGTATCCATAATCAAATTGACCCATAATAATTGAACTGCTGTTAATGGAACTTCACCTGCTGAAACTGCTGCTACAAAATTGATAACAAGTGCAGCTACATTCACTGTTAATTGAAATTGAATGAATTTTTGGATGTTGTTGTAAACACATCTTCCCCAATTTAAAACTGTTACTATAGATGAAAAATTGTCATCTAATATAATAATATCCGAACTCTCTTTTGCAACTTCTGTACCTTGAATTCCCATTGAAAGTCCAATATCAGCTTCTTTCAATGCTGGTGCATCATTTGTACCGTCTCCTGTTACAGCAACTACATGCCCTTTTTCTTTTAAGCATTGAACCATCAGAAGTTTGTCAAATGGAGATGATCTTGCCATCACACTGATTTTTTCAACTTTCTCTAACCTTTCTTCGTGCGTGAAGTTGCGAAATTGTTCGCCTTCAACCACGGTTTCATCTGTGTCTTGATTAGGTTGAAGAATCCCACATTCAAATGCTATAGCTTTTGCAGTGAAAATATTGTCACCTGTTATTCAAGATAGAGTTAGTTAATAATTTGATAACTGAATTAAGCCGAGCCATTACAACCGTTCGATAAAACTGGACTAAACCGTGAATGGTTTGTCCAAAACCAAATTGTTATAAAGGTTTGGTGCAACAACATGTTATCAATAAATGAGAGATTTCTGAAATACCTGTAATCATTTTGACATTCACACCAGCATGTTGGCAAGATTCCACCGCAGTCTTCACCCCAGGACGACACTGATCCTTAATACCAACAAGTCCTAACAATGTTAAACCATTGTCTTTTACCACTATCCCGCTGTTTTCTCGTTCATCTCCTAGCTCTTGAACATCAACTTCAGCATATGCGAAAGCGATGCAACGAAGACTACTAGCTGCCATACCTTGAATAATGCTTTCGAATTTCGACATGGTTTCATTGTCAAGATATTTCACAATGCCATAAGCATAATAGTATTTTGAGCACATTCTCAGTACCATCTCTGCTGCTCCTTTCCAGTGTGCATTAATTTTGTTGTCAACATTTATTTTCAACAAAACTCCACTTCTTTTCTTCTTTGAGTTGAAAGTTTCAACTTGAAGAATAGAGCAACTTTTTGTCAAAGTTTCCATCTCCATATTCAATTCCAAAACAGCCCAAGATAATATTGCCTTTTCTGTTGGACTACCAGAAAATTCAAATTTTGAATCAGAAACTGATTTAGATTCATGAACTCCACCGGTTGTATTATGAGCAACTCCTTCTTTGATCAATTGAAGAACAAATGGATCAACATTTAAATATGCACCATCTTCCAGTGGTTCTAAACCAAGCCAAAATTTTGTCACCTTCATCTGATTCAAAGTGAGTGTACCTGTTACAAATCACACAAAATAGGTTTAGCTTTTCTTTAAGATGGTAGCCGAGAATCGATAACTATTTATTAACTAACTGTAACTAACTTCTATATTTCGTAACAGTACCTATTTTATCAGTGCAAATAGTAGTAGAAGATCCCATAGTCTCACATGCAGAAAGTTTTCTGACCATAGCTTGATCAGCCATCATTTTCTTCATTGAATAAGCAAGAGTCAAAGTCACTGCTAATGGCAAACCCTCCGGGATAGCAACAACAACAATAGTAACAGCATTAGAAATTGTTTAAAGAAATGAACTCACCTTTTAAAGTGTCAAAAATAGTAAATTTCATCAGCTAGTAAATAATATAGAAACAGAGAGGAGCTTTTGTGGTGGTCTTCACATATGAAAAATTATCAAGAAAAAATTATTTACAAATAAAGTAAATAAAGTACATAATGTATGTCGAAACTTTTAGCATTTGTATGCTTGAAGTGTCAGCTTTGTCAGTATGGCTTCTTACCAAAAAGTCGAGTCAGACGCTAAAGTTTCCATAAGAATGATTAAGATCGAAAACTTGGCAAGTTGGTGTATACGCCTTCTTGGCTGAAGCCTACAGAAACTTCTTTCTAACTATTTCATTTTCTTCTAATCTTGTTTAAACGAGAAACCTAATCCTCCAAAATGAGCTCCACAATTTGGCTGCATGGTCAATATGGACCTACTCTAATTCTAACTCTACTGACCAAGATAACCTGAAAAAATAACCACAGTTACAGATGATACCCTCACTAACTCTGGAGGGCTTTTATTCAAGTATTTTTCAGATAAGTAATCCAATGCATCTAAGACAATGACAAGAGAAGATGACTTTGCACAGTAAGGTAAATGAAATCTTATGTCAGCCACATACACAAATCCCTTGTGTACAAGACTTTTTTACTTTGCACCTACATCATCTAATTCATATGGTTATGTTTTCCAAGCCTCTGTATCCTCTTATGCTCACAAACTAGATAGCACATAACAAGTGTTAGTGACAACGTGCAAAACTGTATAGATGTTTTTTCCAAATGCTTTCTTCAAAATAGGCAATGCATGTATTAATTTTAATTTACATGGTGAACCACCTTCAAGTTTACTCACATCCTTAATATCATTTCTAGCTCCACACTTGGTTTTAAAAAATGGTTGTGGTCGCGTTAAGGCTTTCGCGATTTCGGTTGATATCGGTGTCGCGACTCTGATTGCGGTTGTCTCAGTGTGAATTAACCATAACCATAATGTATAACATATAAAATTGTGAAAACGGTATCGGTATCGGCATTTTCGGAACCATTGTGTCACAGCTGTTTCGCATGGCAAACCATTTTTTAAAACCCTGGCTCACCTGAAATGTTGTAACAATAACCAATAAGAAAAACCACAACCACAATAACAAGCCCAACAGATATCAGAGAGTTGTAAGATTTAGACTGAATATATTTTATAAATCAATCACATATAAATATACACAAAAAATGTAAATTGATTAGGCACAATATAGAATCAATGTATGGAACTTCAATTGCGTGCATATCCATTTTTAATCTCCAAATCAATGTGAGCCTAATTTACAAAGTATGATCAATTGAAAACCTGTGGGAAGTTAGGACTCTGAGGCCAAAAGTTGTTGTCTTGACTTAAGATTACCTTGTTGCATTCACCTTGGTGAACTGAACAGGTTGCTCTGCTTCACTTCAAAATTAACAAAAAGATGAGTGAAAGTGGTTTTATGGTTTCAATTGATTCTCGAGTTATGGGTTCAATCAACTTTAGGGTTTTATGGGATATTTGGGACTTTTGCGTTCCAATTTCAATTGATTTTTGTTTTAGGGTTTTTGCTTTCGTGAATGGAATTTTGGTTTTATGGAGAGAAGAAGGTTTTTGAGCTCGATGGAGAGAACAACGAAGGTGGTTCAAATTAACTCGTTGGGAAAGAAGATAGTTTATGAATTTTGGGAAAGAAAAAGGTGAGTTCGTACTATGGTTGAGAACGTAGGTTTTTTTTCTTTGAGCAGTTTCCGGTAACAGGAAGAAGAAATGAAGAAGACGAAGAAATGAACAAGTGAGGGCAAATTTCGTATTTAGGGATATTTAATTTAATTATAAAACAACCTACGAAAGCGCTTTTAAAAGCGCTTTCTAAGACCCATATATGAGAGCGTTTCTGAGGTAAAAAGCGCTTTCGTATGTCCCCCATATAAGAGCGCTTTAGAAAGCGCTTTCGTAGGTCCCCCTTTCAGAGCACTTTTCAAAAGCCCTTTTATAGGGCCACCTATAAGAGCGCTTTTCAAAAGCGCTTTCGTAGGTTAGATATTTCAAATACCTATGAAAGCGCTTTCTGAAAAGCGCTTTCGTAGGAAACCCTACAAAAGCGCTTTTTTTAAGCGAATTTTTTTTAAAGGCTACGAAAGCGCTTTCTCTTAAAAGCGCTTTCGTAGATGCGCTGCCAAAAATTGTTTTTTTCGTAGTGCCAAGATAATAGGAATGCTTCAAGTATTGACCACCAAAAAGGATCAATCTTAACGCACTGTGTTCTCTTAAATTTTCGGCATCTTAATAGAACCGCAACCTACTCAGAGGTTGAATGTTTCATGGAAAGAATTTGATCTACCTCCCAACTATTCTCCACCATACATGAATGCAATAGGAGTAGGACCATCCACTCAGAAAGTTGTGCAGATAAGAGTAGTTACTGAGTAGCAACCAGTTGTCCGTAATATGGCTCAGACTCCCTTCAATGATAACTGCTTTGTGTACCATGTTGATGGCTCCCAAAATGGAGATCAAGAGGAGAGTAATGAGGTAGAGGATGTGAAGGAGATATACTAAGTCCTTGAAAATATGAAAAATAGCGACCCAAATGTATTATGTATGATGTTGGAAAAATATGAAAAATTAGGTACAAAAAATATTACAGATAATCCACTTCGTTTCCGCTAAAAAATAGCAAATATATTACATCGGACCATTGAGGAAACCGATGTAAGAACTGATGTATTACATCGGGCCATTATGTAACAGATGTTAAATATTGCATATATTTTTTTAAATGTTTTTTTCACATCAGACCTATCATTCAACCGATATGGTACGTGGATTTTTTATATTGGGTTGTTGCATGATGTAAAATGTCTTTGATTTACTACATCGTTTGAATTTACATCGGACTCAGACCCGATATAAAATATACTTTTTGCCCGATGTAAAAAGTCTTTTCTGCACTAGTGTTTCTTGTTTTTTAGGTGTTTTGTTTAGAGAATATGATTGTTTTATTTGGGATTTAGATTGAAATAATCTTAGTTGGAATATATGCATCTACAAATTTGGTTATGCAAATGTGCTCTTTTTTTAGTACACTAAATGCCTTCTATATAAGTTATGATATTTGTAAACAAGTGGATTTGGTTAAAAATGTTATTTGGTATTGATGGATCATAATATGTATGAAATGAGTAACTTAAAGTGTTATATGGTATTGAATTGAATGTAGCTTATTGATATTTGCACACCAAAAGAATGATTTTGTGAAGAGTAAACAAAAAGTGTTTTACATTAGCGTTTTGTAGAGAGTACTATTAATGAAACACCTTATAATAGCACTTTTAAGAGAAAGTGCTATCAAACATGTGTCATATATTAGCTTTTTCTTTCAACGTGCTATCAAATATGTGTCATAAATTAGCGCTTTGTTTGAAATTGCTATCAAACATGTGTAATATATTAGCGCTTTGTTTGAAATTGCTATCAAACATGTGTCCTATAATAACACTTAGTTTGAAAGTGCTATCAAAAATCAATTAAAAAAGCGGGCAAAAAACCCACCTCAATAGTGGTTAAGGAAAAATACTATTAAAAACCGATACTTTAATAACACTTTTAAAATATTATTAAACAAAAAACATTTATAATAGCGGTACGGTTAATAGCACTTTTAAACGCTATCAAAAACAAAAAGAAACGCTATTAAATAGTTTATTTGGTGTAGTGTCTATTGCGAGATTCTTGAAGTACTTGCGAGTACTTTACATCTTGCAAATGCATGATTGGATGGTTAAAACAATGGAACAAGGGTGTTTTAAGGAATATCTATCAACACCACACAAAAATCCACCTAATCCCACACCTAAAACAAAATTCATACTGATAACAACACAGCAAAGCAGACCATTCCGGTAAGCTGTAGCAACACTACAAGACTAATCCCTACAAAAGGACAGCAGACCCCGAAGACCAAACCAGCACCAACAGAAGCGAGAACACCTGATAATTGAATAAATTTTTAGTATGTTTCTTTATATTGTTACTATTGATGGAAAAACAATAAAGTACACAAGTCATATTGAATTTCTACTGTTAGTATTTGTACATGTCTTAAATAAAGTAAACTTGAAATAGAATTTTGCTAGTCTGCTAGTTTTTGTTTATATTAAAGGAAATATTTGTTAGTATTTGTTTTAATTAAATTGGATATGTGAGGAATTGGAATGAAAATGTTGGCTGAATTCTCACCCCACTCCCCTTGTTCTTGCCAATACATAGTATAATATGTTTAACGTCAAAATCAAAGTTATAGAAATACTGATAGATTCAAAAGTGGCATCTTCAGTTTTCCAACAAAACCCTAGCATCCAATAAAAATTAATGGTAAACAATGATAAGTATAAACATGGCGTATCATGTGCAATCCCTAATACCCAAAAACCAAAAGGGAACAACTTTACAGATTGGAAGAAAACAAAACCCTAATTCCCCCCAAAAAAGAGTAAAATTAAACGTGGTGGATCATGAAGTACCTGAATTTTAGTTAATCTTGCTTCTTGTTAGGACACTACTAGATAGAAAAAAGGAAAGGGATTTCAAATAAAAAACGAGGTTTAGTTAGGTCACAACTAGATGGAAAAAAAGGAAGAGATTAAGCATGAGAGAAAGAAATTGGAAAGGAAAGCGGGAAAATGAAAAGTGAAAATTGGAAAGGAAAAAACGACGTGTTTAGTTAATGAAACATTTTAGTGTATTTGCAGCGTTTTTGTAATGCCTATTTGCAGCGTTTTTAAAAACCCCTTGAATTAGTTCACTTGTATAACTAATTTTATTTTAACCATAATTTGAAGAGTTGATTATTTTAACTGGCAAGCAAATATATTAGCAACAGATTCTTTGAGAAGGCGTACGACTCTGTTAGTTAATCCATCTCAGATTATATGTTGTAGAGGTTTGAGTGTTGGTAGGTGGAGGGTTAGTTTAGAAGATGTGTGCAAAGTCAAAAGGGCTAGTAGTTTAGGGGTATTTGGTTAACCTTTTGTTGCTAAGTAAAAGAAGGTGGATGTTTGTTATGGATTTGTCTTTATTATGGAGAAATATTAGCTTGATAATATATGGATTACATGGTTATCAATCTCTATTTGGGGACTTTTTGTCTGTAACTTTCAAACATGTTCTTAAGACCTCTGTATAAAACTAGAGTCGATGGTTGTGTGGCGTTGACTTTATAGACGTACAAGTTTACATAAAGACCTCACTTAGAGTAGAAATCAATGACGATATTATTGTCCTACGAGTATTCGTTACGTTGATAATATTTTCAAATGGGAGTCGTGACTCTAGGAATCGTTTTATCCATAACCCTAGAGATTACATGTGAGCGAAATGTTTGTTAGATGGTACACAAAATCTTACTACCCTTAGAACTCCAACACATATTGTTGCATTGCATTCCTTTCCTAAATTTTTTTAGACTATCACATTTCATTCATATGCCTTTCTACGGGACATAGCATTGCATTTTCATAGGAAAATTCTGCTTATTAAAAACAAACAAAAATTTTCACGCATTCACATTTATCCTCATGAATACCCAGTTTCCAAAAAAACACATTTCATTCTTTCTCATCCTTAGAAAAAACAAGCAATTAATAAGGCAAGCTGATTCCATGGAATCCTTACGAGACGTGTAGTGTTTCTCGAAGAAAGATTGAAAACCTTAAGAAAATATGAAAGGGGATATAGACGATCTCAAAGGATCCGTGACCAAGATAATAGGAATGCTTCAAGTATTGACCACCAAAAAGGATCAACCTTAACGCACTGTGATCTCTTAAATTTCCGGCATCTTAATAGAACTGCAACCTACTCAGAGGCTGAATGTTTCATGGCAAGAATTTGATCTACCTCCCAACTATTCTCCACCATACATGAATGCAATAGGAGTAGGACCATCCACTCAGAAAGTTGTGCAGATAAGAGTAGTTACTGAGTAGCAACCAATTGTCAGTAATATGGCTCAGACTCCCTTCAATGATAACTGCTTTGTGTACCATGTTGATGGCTCCCAAAATGGAGATCAAAAGGAGAGTAATGAGGTAGAGGATGTGAAGGAGATATACTAAGTCCTTGAAAATAGGATGTAGGTTGTAGAAGGAAGTTGCAACTTTGGCTTTGACACCATGGACTTGTGCTTGGTCCCTGACCTAACTATTCATAAGAAATTCAAAGTCCTTGAATTCGAAAAGTACAAGGGCATAATTGTCTAAAGAATCGTATGATAATCTACTTATACAAAATGGTTGACCATGCAAATAATGATAAGTTGTTGATCCATTGCTTTCAGGCCAGTCTAACTGGAGTGTCTCTAATGTGGTATATGGGCTTAAAGAGGGACTATTTCCAATCATGGAAGGATTTGGCTTATGACTTTCTAAAACAGTAGAAATACAACATGGATATGGCTCATGACTGGAGGTAGCTCCATACCATGGCCATGAAGGAAAATTAAACATTCGAGGAGTATGCTCAGCGCCGGAGAGACCTAGCTTCTCAGGTTGAGCCACCTCTAGTTGAAAAAGAGCTCACGTGAATCTTAATGGAAATGTTTCAACCTGTATTTTATGAAAACAAATTTTGGAATCATATCTTTAAGCTTTGCTGATTTGGTCACAGTCAAGGAACGAGTTGAAGAAGGCTTAAAGAATGACACTATTGTCGGTAATGTTGGGTCACATGACAACAACACAAAGAAATTCCTTGTAAACTTTCAAAAGAAAAAAGACGGAGAAACCAGTGTTGTTGTAATTGGTGGCGGAGAATCTCATAATCCACAACCCTACCAGCCCTTAGTTCAGAAGCAACCACCTACTATGACATACTACTTGTATCCATATGTGGAAGCTACGCAATACAAGCAATCATCCTTCCTTGTGCCTCCAATCCAACAACCATGGGCGGCTCCTCCACATAATCCTCCACAGAGTTAGAATCAAGAAAAAATTTAGTACCGACCTCCGAGAAACCAGCTGAATAAGACATGCCGTATTGACTCAATTCAAATGATGCACATTGAGTTATGGTTGCATCTAATTCATAAGTCAATGATAACTTCTAGTTTAACTCAACCCAAGATATTTGCATTCCCTTCAGGTACAACCTAAATGTCAAATATGACTTTCATAGTGGGGTAGCAGGTCACTCAATTGAGGATTGCATAATTTTTAAAGAAAATATGCATGAATTGATCGATAAGAAGATACTCACTTTCAAGAATGTTTGTCTAAGGTGAGTACCAATACCTTTCCTTTTTGAGGGCTAAGACACCAGGGAACACTCCTAAATCCAGTGGATCAGATGCAAAAGCTCATCTTCAAATACAATTTCATTGTGTGTTAAGTATTTTTTTAATAGTATTATTAATGAAGTGAGCATTGTTTTAATAAATCCATTCGTATTCACCCTAAATATATTCATTATTTCCTTTTTTATTAAAATATTAAAAAAAAAAATATATCGATATTACTTCAACTTCGCTTTCTGTATCTTCTTTTGTTTAAGCAAAGATTGGATGGAGAATGATGAAAACAAATAACCCATATTTCTACACTATGCTTTCAAATAAAACATGTTGATGATGTAAGGGATTATTTCACTTCCCAAACATATAAAGAGATAATCCCTAGTCAACCCCTTTGAGCCTAGATTTTGATCTTTCTTTCTATGTGAAAATGGAACTTTAATCTTAACCTGGGGCATGGTAGTTGTTCAGTAAAAATGACTAACGCATTTGAATTTCAAGAAAATTATTCCATATGTGCGAGAACCATTCCAAGTAACTTCGAATAAGAAGTTCAATCACATCTTCTTCCTCACATGCATCATAAAGTCTCAAAGAAATCATGAAATACCAAAAACTTACAATGGTTGTTTCTCTAGAACAATCAAGATAACAATCACAACCCTTTCAATTCTCTCAAATCAAATGATCAAATGTCATACAAGTTGTTGCAAAAATCAAAATTTTATAAATTAAAAAAATCAAAGAAGAAGCCCGCGAAGTCGAAAATCAGAAAAAGGGACTAAGTAAAAAATTAGGACATCCCGGTTGACTGTAAACTCAAAAGAAGTAGCCCATGCAAAAATTAGAGAGAGAAAAAAGCAACACAAAAAACCGTAAAAAGAAAAATCCTTGACAAAAAGAAGAAAAACAAACAAGAACAAGCTTGTGTGGATACCAAAGAAGAATAGGTGAATGTTACATTGTTGAAGTGTGAAAGTTGAGATTAAGCTATTTATTAACTTAACTCTAAAAAATAATAAGCAAGAGTCGCCATTGAAATATTTTAATTTCAAAGGAATAAGAAAATATGGATAAAACCCAAAATATAAAGATCTAGGTCAATGGATGGTTATGTGAGGAGAAGGTATTAGCACCCTTCACATCTACGGTATTCCATAGGAACCTCTTGAAAATTTGTGTTAGGCTAAAACGTTTGTTTGAAAAAAGATTAGGGAGATGAGAAAAAGAAGTATATTTTTATTATTTTTTATTCGCCAAGACTTCGAGAGCCTTGTGCCTATGTACAAAATTGTGTTTGTTTTAATTGATTTTAATGAAAAGACATTTCGTCCTTTTCGAGTGGAAAACTCAACTTATCACCCACAAGTATGAGAACGTGAACTTTTTCATCATCTTGATGGAGAACTTTAGCTTGGATATAATCAACAACCATGCCTCAACATTCATGTGGAAAATGTGAATTAAACTCTCAATCATACTATGCGAACAGGAGATTTACTTCATTAGAAGAAGATGAGTTATGCATAATCTTTACAAAAAGTTTGAAAGGAAAAAGAAGTGCAAGACACTAAATTGATTTGAAGATTTTTGTATTTTTCATATTTTTTTGAAAGAGTTTTGATATGGTTAAGTGTTTTAACATTTATTGAGAAAAGGTTTTGAAAATCACTTGACAAAGTCAAGGTTTGTTTTGAAAGTGGTTTGAAGTTTGAAACAAGAATATTTTGTAAAAGAGAGATGATTTTGAAAATTTAAGAATTAGAAGAGATGAAAAGACTATCCTAAAGTATAAAGTAAATAACAAGAAATAAATGATCTCATTGTAAGGTAGCCCATAAGAAGGCCTTTGTGTGTGCATGTGAATTACCTAGAATGAAACAAGAAATTAACATTAGTCAAACTTAGAATTCATTTCCTTATGGATTAACCAACAACAAAGCAAACACATGGTATATGAATACCACAAAGTTCACGCAAAGTCATAAAGCTCAAAGATCCCAAGGTAAGGCCAAGTCTTAGATGAACCCACAAAGCATCAAATGAAAATAACCTAAGCAGAGCCAAGTTTTATAATGTTGATCAATGTTGCAGATGAATTTCCAAGATCTATGATACAAAATCCAAGTATGGGAACAAAAATCAAAGATCTAAGTCCAAAATTCCAACTCCAAGCAAATGATAAAAGTAATCATGTTCATGGATCAATATTAAAATCTTTTTAGGATTTTGATATTTATAAATGTTTTGGGTCTTTTGAAAGAAATAAAGCACAAGATAATTAAAATAAAAGAAAAAATAAAGATGACATGAATATAAATGACTTGAAATATAAATGGCATAAAATTAAATGACAATAATGTAAAGTGCAGAAAAGTAAAGTTAGCACATCAGATCACAAATGTCTTGCTTCAACTACAGAAGAAGACAAGAACTGGCTATGGCATCATAGATATAGACATCTAAACTTCAAGAGTTTATGTATGCTCAATTAGAAAAGAATGGTGCTTGGGTTGCCGTATGTGAAGGAACCAAAACAAATATGTGAGGAATGCTGCAAATCCAAACAGGCAAGGAAGGCGTTCAAATGTAACTTTCCTATAAGATCAAGGAAAAAATTAGAGTTGGTTCATTCAGATGTGTATGGACCATTTGAAGTAAAGTCGAATGGATGTAACGGGTATTTCCTTACTTTCATTGATGAATCCACCAGGCATATGCGGATCTACCTTATTGAAAAGAAAAGTGAGGTATTCACATAATTCAAGAAGTACAAGTTGCATGCTGAGAAACAAAGTGACTGCAAATTGAAGAAGTTAAGAACTGATGGTGGTGGTGAATATACTTCTGCTGAATTTTCTAGATTTTGCAATGAGGAAGGTATAGAGCATAAGGTTATTGCACCATATACACCTCATCATTATGGCATAGATGAGAGAAAGAATAGAAGTGTATTGAACATGACGAGATGCATGTTAAAAGCTAAGAATATGCCTAAGAGATTTTGGGCTGAATCAGCTTCTACAGCAGTATATATTCTAAATAGATGTCCAACAAAGAAGATGATCAAAAAGACACTGCATGAGGCTTGGACAGGGTCGAAGCCAAATTTAAGTCATCTTAGAGTTTTTGGATCAATTAGTTTTAGGCATGTACCTGAACAATTGAGAAAGAAGCTGGATGATCATAGTGAAGTCATGGTGCTCATAGGTTATCATTCGACTGGTGCATACAAGTTGTATTCACCAATCAAAGATAAACTAGTGATTAGTAGAGATGTTATTGTAGACAAAAGCAAAGGGTGGGACTGAGGTCGAATTTCAGTTCGACAAGAATCAGACACATTCACAACTGTGTTCGAAGAAGATGAACAGAGCGAAGCTTCGACAAGTCAAAATGAAGAACCACCTGTGCAGAATAAAAGAAGATCCACAAGAACAAGAACTGAGTCGACATTATGCCAAAAATGACTTTTAACAACGCATATTAGACAACGCTTTTATACAAAAGCGCTTCTATAAGTGAATTAAAAAAAAAACACGGAAAATGTATAAAATAATAAGTAAAAGCGCTGCTAAAAATGTGACCTTAGCAACGCTTTTAAAAAGTGTTGCTAAAAGTATTGCATTAGAAAGTGCTTTATCAAAAGCGCTGGTAAATGACCACTTTAGACAGCGCTTTAAGAAAGCATTGTCTAAAGTCATATAAAATTAAATAAAATAACTGATAAGTGCTACTAAAGGACCCTATTAGCCAGCACTTTTCAAAAGCGCTGCTAAAGGCCCATATTAGCCAGCGCTTCTAGAAAGTGTTGTCTAAAGCCATATAAATAAAAATTAAAAAATAGAATCAGTGTACTGTTTCTCTTTCACAGATTCACGAACAAGCAGAAACCCTTTCTCTCTTATTCTCACGAACAGAAACCCATTATGTCACCGTCAAACCAGCCCTTTCCCTCCGTCCTCCACCGTCTCTCTCGGTTATCCTCCACCCACACCGACCGGTTCTCAAGGAAGGTTCTTTCTTGAAAATGTATTTATCTCCATTGATGTCCAAACTGAGTTATCCTCCTATTGATAATGTACTATGCTAAAATCTAAGATATTATCCTCCTATTGATGTCCAAACTGAGTTATAGATATGCATAACTGAGTTATAGGTATGCATTTTGATTTTTTCGGTTCTTGGTAGGGCTTGATATATAACAGCAACACTTTTAGCATTTAGCATTATTGCATTTTCTTTTGGTTATTTGTTTTGGAATAAAAAAGATGATGTTGGTTTTTTTTTGTTATTTTAATTGGTTTCTGAATTGTTTATCATGTTTATATTCTCCATGAACTAGTATTTTTTTTTTACTTTTTGGTTGCTTGGTTTCTTTACTTTTAATACTATTTTACTGATATAAATTTCTGAATTGCTTAAGCATTATTACTCCTAAATACTGTGTTTCTGTTGGAAAGAAATATAATATGATAGAAAAGATTCATAAGTGATTTGTTTCTCATACAATTTTTCACAAAAAACTTGTCTAAGAACAAATTCTTAAGGTTTGTTGATTTAATCTATTATAGCCCTATATATACATCTTGTTTTTAATGATCCCTTTGTATTGGTGTAGTTAGTCAAAGACCATCACCGATTCGAAGAACATCAAAGCCGCATCATCCGTCGTCGACATCAATAACCCCTTTTCTTTCTTTGGTAAGTCAAGTTCAAATTATATCTGTATCGATCAATT